ATGGCTAGCAAACCAGTCGCTAGCCGCCACGTGGGAATAATTTAGAACGGGCCAATAGTGGGACACAAATTTACATGCGAATGGCAGGAACTCCTTTGCACCGTGCATTTCTCTTTGCAACTAAGAAATGCACCCTGCAAAGAAAGCTCCTAGTGGCGGGAAATAATTTAGCAGTGCCGAAGCGCGCACAAACAAAATCACACCCTTGGGTTGTGACAGTAACATGAATGACAGAAGTTTTGGGGCCCAGTTCACTCAGAATTTGTTACCCCCGAGCAATGTAGACCTGGCTGCAGCCACCTTTATGTATCATAATTAAGGAGGTCACAATTTCAGTTTCTTTAAAAAAAAAAAAGAAAAAGAAAAGAAAAAAAAAGCTCTAGACCAGTTTTAAGAGAAAATGATGTTGTCAGTTGTGGTTATATTGTCATATCTATTGCAGCTGTTCTATAGAGTTAAAAACACAGCCATGTGTTTATTGGCTTGTTTTTACTTTAAGTGTTCAAAGAATTTGAGAGCACTGAGGGCAGCATGCCCAGAAGCCTTCCTTTCATTTCCTCTGCATGTGGAGCAGCAGGAGCTAGAAAGGTTGTTTTATTTATCTATGTATTTGATTTATATGCCAGCCTTCTCAAAAAGGCTCAGGGCAGGTTCCAATAAAAGACAAAAACACAGAGGAAAAAAAGTACAGCAAAATGATCCCTCTGCCTATTCAGAAGCAGTTCACCCCTCTGCCCCTTCTGCTCCTCCTTGCCGTAGTTTGAGATTGGCATCTTTTTGTCTGCGAGAGATGGTGGATATTGCATTCCTATGATGAAGATGCTTTGCAGTGTTTTATGTGACTGAATAGGCTGATCCAAGATTTGTATGATCTGTGGCAGTGCTTGCAACTGTGTGTGTCGTGGTTGGGTGATTCAGGATCTGCTTGCTTCTTGTGGACTCTCTTCTCTTCAAGCTGTTGGACTGTAAGGCCTTGGTGGAGATGGTGATCCCACTTCTTCCAGTCGCTTGCCTCGGTTTCCCATTGGTCAGGATCAGTTCCAGGTTTTTTGCCCGTCGAAGTCTTGCTTTGGTACTCTCAGTTGGCTTCTTGTTGTGTTCTGGATAGGCTGTGTTTTTGATGTTGATGAGAGGTAATAGTTCTTCTGTATTTTCTTCAAACTAGTCCATATTGCACAGTATCTTGCTCAAATGGAGTTTTAGCTAGAGGAAATTGGGGAAGGTTAAAGAACTGCAATCCATAAAACAGGTAAAGCTACATTTGGGGAAAAGAGAGTGTCCAATTTGGACTGGTTTGAGGAAAATGCCTTTGTTTGTACAGGACACAAAGGAAGGGGTGACAGACAGACATATAGCCCTCAGGCTAGATCGGGCATGTCGAGCTGTTGATCTGGCCCATGGGTTCTGGACTGACCCTACATGCTGCATGGAGCATACACCAGTTCTGGCCCCATGTACTGCACACAGCACAGAAGATCAGTCCAGGGTACATGCGGGCTCCAGTGCTGGTCCAGATTGGAGCACAAGTCCACAATGCAGGAGGTCAATTCTGACCTGGCCCAGTGACTGGCCCCATGGGCCAGATGAGTCTGCCACCACCGCACTAAGGAAATCTTCAGCCTCCTGGGTCATGTTCCCAGGCAGCACCAAACAGCCTACACACAGTCAAGTCAGGGCTTTTCATTTCTGTCCTGTTTCATCTGCTTGTAATTGCAACAGAGGGATCTGTCCACATAGTGGGTCCAGTGGCTGCTGCCCCCTTTCCTCAAGGGAAGTAGCAACCAGGTAGAGCCCTCAGCTTGCTGACATCTGCAGCCGCTCAGGTCTAACTCTTGGCCTGTGAGACACCCCCACGGCACACTTACCACAGCAGTAGCATCCAGGTGGCCAGTCTGCTTGGGAATTGGCCAGCACCATGCAACCGAAAGAGGGCCTGCAGAGTGCTCCGGCCCTGGAGGACTCCTGGGATAAAATGAACTCCTTGGCGGCAGCAGAGGGGAGGGAGAAAGAGGGCACACGGGGAGTGCAACCTGAAACCTTCCCCACGGCTGGAGCGGGACCAGCACACCCCCACGGGGGTGGCCAGGCTGCAGGAGTCCTGGTTGCCGTGGGATCCCTCCTGCAGAGACGGGAAGCATGCTTACCTGTGGCACCACAGCAGGGAATCTTTCCAGGGCCAGGAGGCCCCACCAGAAAAGGAGATGCTGCAGGCAACCAAGCACCCGTAATAGAGAGCCGGTATTGGTACAGAAGCCATGGTGGGTGAACCCACCAGTGTAGACTCGACCAAGCCTCTGCTCACGCACCACGATGCTGAAAGGTATTGTGAGGGCAGCTGGGATGGGAGGAGGCCAGCCCAAGAGGGACTGGTAGAGGCTGCCAGGGATGAAAACCTGTCCAGTGCCCCTGTAGCCACAGCTATCGCATTTGAGCAGGCACAGACCCAAAATCTGTTCCTAGGGCCGCAATGGTCACGGAGGACCCTAGGGACTGTGAGGGGGCATTGCCTGAAGTACTGGGGTATGTGGCCGGGAGCCAGCCGGCCTAGAACCCCAGCTCACCTGGGGAATACCCACAAAGGGGAAGGCAGCAGGGGCCAGGTGAAGCCCATCTCGCTGAACGCAGAACATTGAAGTAAAGTGTTGGGTGCGGGTAGTATTGATGCCCTGCTTGCCCACATCACGTACACATGTTTAGTTTCCTTATTAAGTTGTGTATTTGTCAGCCAAGAAAGCCTCACCACACTCCCATGGGGACTGTGCAGGCAGGCGTGCCAGGAGAACGGGCAGCACCAGCAGCCCATCACAGACATCACTGAGACCAGAGTGGACCACCTAAGTGGAAAGGGGTGAGGTGTAGGGGTGGCGGAGCCTCATAGAAGACGTATTGGCTGAGCCACCCGGGGCCACTAAGCAGCACCTCCATCTAATCTCATATAACATCAAGTTGTGGGTGGCAAATAGGCCTCCGGGTGGCACCCAGGTGGGCAGGGCACTTGGGCCTGCCACAGCCTGCTTCTCTACTCCGGTGACTTCAGATTTACACTAGTTCTGTTCTGGTGCGGTGCAGCAAATCAGAGGATCAGGCTCTGGATTATCTTCACAATTTTTTGTACTTCTCTTGGCTGTGGATTTCTTTTATCCTCCCAGTCGTACTCTCCTGCCCCTTGCGCTGCTGTTTTTTGTTTCCCTCTCCTTTACTTCCTCCCTTCATTCTCACATCAACTGTTGTGTTCCCTCGCAAGTAAAAATGCAATGCAGATGATTAAAAAACAAAAAAGCAAGTAAAGCCTTTGAGCTAGCAATCCATGTTGGTAGGTTGTAAATAGAATATAATAATAACAAAGTTAGAAATACAAGATGCTTCAACTCTGCAGGATGTGATTCTTGATATGTTACAACCCCTTTATTTAGCTTCAGCACCTTTTACAAGGGCATCCAGTTCTGAGAAAAAGAGAAACGAGAACTTCAATGCTTTTCAAGCTGATGCCAAGAATTCAACTAAAACAATTATATGGAAAGACTTGAGTTAAAGCCAGGCTAGAGAGAAGCTAATGTAACTTTGACTTACGGGTTGGAGAATAATACCAATATACTGTATATGTGTGCCTACACAAAAATAATTACTTTTAACGAGCATTATATTTGTTTGAGCAAAACCACTGTTTTTTTGAGAAAGTAAACAATGGTAAAATTGAACTGAAATAGAGATTGGTGTATTATATAAAGCACTTGGAATATTTTACTCAGGCATCTAAAGGTGTTGAAGATTGGTTAAGTCCCCACAAACAGGCCTACTCAGCACCTTTTCTGTACTATCCTCACAATGTGTTAAGTGTTTTAAAAGAACACAGGAGACAGTTTCCTTCTCTGGAAAGCTTCAGGATTTTGTTTGTACTAGAAACATTTGCTGGTGCAGTACTGTTAGTTGGGGATGGGATGGGTGTCCTGTCTGTTCTCTACCAGCAGAACTCCAGCTTGTACTTCAACTAAAAGCATTTGTAAGTTGGTGTAGTTTTCACTTGAGCAGTTGATACAAGCTATACCGGCAAAGAGCTGATCTTGGGGGTAGATTGACCTAGATTAATATACACCTGGTCTGGATTCCTCTTGCATAGAGGAGTAGGATTATATTCTTAAAATCACATCTCTTAAAGTTCAGTTGTGTGTTTAAATAAATTTCTACACATGAATGTTGCACCTTAATTCCATTTTTCCTGAATCAAAGTTGTTATGTAAAAAGCCAAATGTTTCTAGCCTTCAGGTTTCCAGTAATCATCAAATCATAAACTAAGGTTAGACTAGAGTGGTGATATCCAGCAGTAATTCAAAGAAGTTATGAATTGCCCTATTCACTTCTTATATTTGACTCTGAAGACTACCAGAAAATATTTGAAATGCCAGCATTACAGTTGAGGCAAGAGTCTGCTGTGGTTCAGTGGTAGAATCCTTGTCTACCACACAGGAGACCTAGGTTTGATTCCCAGACACTTATACAGCTACAGCCATGGAGGCACCAAACGTCTGGACTCAGTCTGGTCTTTGGATTCTGTCTCAGTGGCCTAAAGGGAGGATGGAAGGTCTGGGCAGCCTCCACTCCTTCAAAAATTCCTGCCTAGGCATATGCATCGAAGGTCTGGGTAGCCCTCATGCATACACCATCATCCAGGAGGATCAACCAACGGTTACCACCATAATTGAGGCTGGCAAATTTTTTGGTATGTGCATACATAATTTGCTTCATAAAGCACTGAGGTTTGGAGTAAAACTAACACTGGTGCCCTTATTTCCTTTTTCCCCTCAGGTGAACTTTACAGTAGACCAGATCCGAGCGATCATGGACAAAAAGTCCAATATCAGGAACATGTCTGTGATTGCTCATGTCGATCATGGCAAATCAACACTGACAGACTCTTTGGTATGTAAAGCAGGTATCATTGCCTCAGCCAGAGCAGGGGAAACACGATTCACAGACACGCGGAAAGATGAACAGGAAAGATGCATCACAATCAAGTCTACGTAAGTATCAGGAAGTGATCTTTACATTTTAAATCCGAGCCCTGTATTCCAGCACTGCAAATTTGTCTCATTGAAACCTCTGTACATTGGAGCTATTTTTATAAGAATGCTTGGTATATAAAATAATGTGACTGTCCAGAAAATTAGCAGCCCAGGCTGGATGCAGATCATATCTCCATATTTTGCTTAAACGTGCTAAAGATTTATTTTCTGAATTTCTTAGCTACAAATAAATGAAAGTTATAGTCATTGCAGTTGATAGGGCTAGCGATGTCATTAACCAAAGCCATTTTGCATCAAAGCCAGGATTTTTTATATTCTAGATGGAGATGTGTCCTTCGTGAACTGTTTCTGTCCTGTACTTTGCTGAGTCTCTAACCACAGTAGCTTTTATTTTTTAAATGAAATTAAAAAAGAACCAATTATGCTTTTTTTTATTTTTTTTTGGAAACATACCGAGTTTATTATTGTAAACACATTTAAAATGAAACCCCTTCATTGACATTTCATTTTTCAAAATATTTTGCCATTTTTTTTCTTTGCTCTTGCAATTTAATTGAAAATAAAATGATGGCTTTTGGTTTAAGGATATAAGGTGAACCGTTTTATATGACACTTTTTAGTTGTGGATAACTTTTAGCTGAGGCTAATTGTATTACAAAATGCTCTTTCAATACTCTTCAGTATCAGTGTTCATCTTCTGAGTGACAGGCAGCTGTGTCTTTCCCTTTGGCCACATGCTTGTACTTTGCAGTGAGCAGTATTGTGCACAGAGTAGTTCCTTTGATTGTAACAGAATTATTTGCAGTGTAAGCTACTACTCGGTGAGCGAGGATGGCAGAGTATGGCCCTTTGTGAATACCAGGATTAGTATCCCTACCTATGATATTTGCAGACTCGGCTATGACCCCATCCCTGCAGGTTAACAGCTTGAAAAGACACTTGTAGAGTCATGGCTCAAATCACTGGCTACACTGATTCTAGCATGACTTCTACTGTGTTGATCTCATAAAAATAGAATTTGATTATAGGAAAGGAAAGTACTGGTTTCTAAGAATTTTATAAGCCAAAGAAATAATCTTCACTGCTTTCATTTTCTTTTAAGTACATCATGGTGAGGATGTTAATGATCCCTTGTAACAGATGAGCTGCAAATGGCTACATAAAGTGGATTTATAATAAAATTTCTTCTTTTATAGGGCAATTTCCCTGTACTACGAACTTTCAGAAAATGACTTGGCCTTTATCAAGCAGTCCAAAGATGGTTCGGGTTTTCTTATTAATTTAATTGATTCTCCTGGACATGTAGATTTCTCCTCTGAAGTGACAGCAGCTCTTCGTGTCACTGATGGTGCCCTTGTAGTAGTTGACTGTGTTTCAGGTAAGTGTGTTTTTATGAGAGAGACTTTGCTGTATACTTTCTGTGAAACTGAATAACTTGGTGGCAGGATAATGGCAACTTAAATACAATGGGTTTTTATAGTAAACATTTAGAGTCAACTGGGTTGTAATTGAATGGGTGGTTGTAGCCTGTTCTGTTCACATCCCCAAAGGTGAAATCCACCCCATATGTGTAGAGCCTGCGGGTGGAGTGCAGGGTAGGACAGGCGATCAAATCCATCCTTCACTCCAGAATCAACGTGTGAAACTGCTACACAGACTCTTCCCCTTTCCACTATTACATCTGATATTCCAGCCGTTGAACTGCAGCTCCTGTTCCAGTTTACCCATGCCGGTTTCATGGAGCCCTGAGGCTACGGAAGAATTCTCAGCTTGGCTTCCCTGGCTAGTTTATCTAGCACAGTGGCTTCAGTTAACTGAAGAACGTGAACCACTAACACTTTTTTTTTTTTTAAATAGGGGTGTGTGTTCAAACTGAGACTGTTCTGCGTCAGGCAATTGCTGAGCGTATCAAGCCAGTACTGATGATGAACAAGATGGATCGGGCTTTGTTGGAGTTGCAGCTAGAGCCTGAGGAACTTTATCAGACCTTCCAGCGGATTGTGGAAAATGTCAATGTCATAATTTCTACCTATGGAGAGGGAGAAACTGGACCAATGGGTAATATTATGGTAAAGAAAACTTAAGTTTTGCTTTGAACAGCATTAAGTAACTAGATCTTGTCACAGGTGTATCTGAGAATGTCAGCTGTTCTAAAATGGATCTTTCTTCAAGACTGACTAGCCTAGAAAAGAAACCACATTGCGTTGTTCATACATGCAGCATATCAGGAAAGGTAGAGCAACAGGAGACCAGGCAACCAATTAGGAAAGGAAGCAACTAGAAAACAGAAGTGAAGGGGAAAGAAAAGTAGCAGAAGGGAGCCAGAGATGAAACAAAGGGAAAGTGCATTGTGCAGAAGAGAGGACAAAGGCAGATGCTTCTACATGCAACTTATGCTTTCAAAACGTTGTGGATTTGAAAATATTTGTATCACTATCTCTTCTGCAGCTGAGTGGAAGGTATAGTCCTGAGGTCATGCCAGAAACCAGGAGTTAAGAAACTACTTTTCCTGACTCTGCTCTTAATTCATTTATGGTCTTGTGAGGATAACAGTACTTCTACGTGACAGATTCTGTAGAAGTTTTGTGGTGATAATATAGCTCTGTGAGACTGTTGGGTGGAGTATGGTAGAATTTTGGAGCATCTCTTATGGTGCATGATTAGTTCTATGCAGTTAGGTCATTGGGAGATAGTGTGTCAGTGGTCTTATCCTAAATGTTTATGAATCTTCCATGGAATAGCTAACCAGAGAAGCCAAGCTGGGAATTCTTATGTAACCTCAGGCCTCCATGGACAAGTTATTTCATCTTTCATGGTAGCTAGACACAGAAAGAGGAAATAACTTGACAAGATCACAAGCAGTCAATATGAAAGAGCTTAAAATATAGTAGTCGCCAACAATCCCTTCTTCTAAGTGTAATTCCCTGTTTTTTTCTGTGGCAACTGTACTTCCAACCTCTGCTTCACTGTTCTAATTGGAAACTACTGCTCTAACAGAGAAACTGCGCTTTCGCAGGCATATAATCAGTTTTATACCTTAACTGCAAGATATACTGATTCCCCATAGCCACATTTTCAAATCTGCCTGCCTAAAGTTTGACCTGGGAATCGATATCTAGTTTTTGCTTTGTCTGTCAGCTGTGGTTGCATTCTAGGCTGTGCACATTGAGGTTATTGAGGCTGAGGATACTTGAATCAGCCCACTTTGAGACATGTGCTGAACTTCAGGCACCCAGGTTTCAGTTCCCAGGGGAACTTCAAAACCAAAAAAATCCCAGAAATTCATGGAAATATTTGGAAGGTCTTAAATGAGATTTTCTATAAGCATGTTGGTAAAACATAGGTAAGATCTTTTTTTGTTTGTTATTAAGGATCTTGCCATTGGAGAAAGTGGAATTCTTTAGATTAAGATCCACCAAAATATGTCTTGTCAGGACTCCATAATATTAGAAAATAGTTCTGGTAACCACCCTCTCACTGCATGCCGCTGAAAACAGATCATATGCTTAATCAGTGTCTTGTAAAATGCATTCACTTTCATTCTGGGTTTTTAGATTGATCCAGTTATCGGCACTGTTGGGTTTGGCTCTGGTCTGCATGGCTGGGCATTTACCCTGAAGCAGTTTGCCGAGATGTATGTGGCCAAATTTGCTGCCAAAGGTGAAAAAGCCCAACTGGCTCCAGCTGAGCGTTCAAAGAAAGTAGAAGATATGATGAAAAAACTCTGGGGAGACAAGTGAGTGATGAAACATATAGGTATATCCTTAGAAGCCACAGTGATGCACCATTCAGAAGTATCATAGTGATGTATTGGTGATATATTGAATGCATGTGTCTCTACAAATTGCAGTCCATTCTTTTACAGAGAGTTTAAGTGGCAGCCTGGAGATCTAGACGTAGGGGAAGGGGGCAGCGCAGCATGGGCAGAGCCTTTGCTAGCAGCTCCCCCATGCCTTTCCTTTGGAGGCCAGGTTCTTGCCCAGGATGGAGGTGAGTGAAGCAGAAAAAGCTGTGCTGGGAGCTGAGGCAGATGCAGTCTCAGCCTGCTTGATATCCTGGGCAGGAGCACCAGCATGGGCCTCTAAGGGCTCCTGAATCCCAGGTGGGCAGCAAGGCGTCCCGCTCCTGAAGGGCTGCATTGCTTGGCCAGCAAACCCATCCTGTGGGAGAGGCATAGGGGAGCTGCTAGCAAAGGCCCTGCAGGGAGTCGCAGGGGGGCCTGTCTCTTGTGCTTTATCCCACTCCTGAAGGGCTGCATTGCTTGGCCAGCAAACCCATCCTGTGGGAGAGGCATAGGGGAGCTGCTAGCAAAGGCCCTGCAGGGAGTCGCAGGGGGGCCTGTCTCTTGTGCTTTAATAGGAGCCCTCCCCCCTCCTGCCCCCTCCGCCGTACATCAACAGGCTGCCGTACACCAACAGGGACCGCTGCTGCCGGAACTGCCGCTCCATCTCCAGTGTTTGCACCTTGCAGAACAGCACCCGCTGCATCGTCGTCTTGGCTGTGCTCAGTGGCAGGGGAAGGCCCCCCCAGCCTTGTCTCTTCCCCCCCCGGCAGCGCAAGGCCCCACAGGCTTGGCTTCAGCCTGCGCAGTCACGAAGTGTTAAGGCACCTTATGGTGTCTACACATGGCGCCTTAACTAATCGTGCCTAAATTTGAGATTTGCTTCATGCAGGTATTAAGTTTATGCACCATTAGCCTAAAATTGCCATTTTTAAGGCACGTTAAGGGTGCACACGTGTAGACCTGTGCCGTTAAGGCGCGTTAGCCATTTTTAAGGCACATAAAGTCACCATGTGTAGATGCGCCTGCTTAGAGAGACTGGATTATCAGAAATTTAGCATGGAATGTTCCTTGTATTGCACTAGGTGAGCAAAATTAATATGCGACAATATAAAGATTATGAGATGATCAACAGGTGATTGGACCTAGTGATAGTTGTCCAGTTGAATTCTGTGGATTTTAAATCACATCCTGGAGAAGGAAGAATTCACATATGCACAGATTCATTATAATGACATGGTTTGGTGTAACTAAATATTAGCAAATGATCAGCAGATGGATTAAAGCTTGAAAAGAGATCTTGAGGAGAAAGCTGATTTGGGACCTAGGGACTGCCTGTTTAAACTAAGGCACTCCTGTGCAACTATGGAATCCCAAGTGTAGGTGCTTGGGGAGCTTTAGAGAAGCTGGAGTGATTCTTCCAAGAATCACAAAAGGAGTTATAGACCCTCAGGTGGAACTTGGGAGTTCTTGTCATCAAATTTTTAGCTTAACCCACTCAGGCTGGCTAAAGGCACAAACCTAAACTCAGTACTTGGGGGTCTGATACAGAACAAATATTTGCTTGCTGTGCTCTTAAATCCAAAGGAACAAACTTCTCCATATGAACATAACAGTTCTGGAATAATTAACGTAACTAGCTGGGACCCTCCTAGCTATTCACTTTTTTGACAGCGCACATTAAGCATGGAACTTTCTCTGAAAGACTCTGCAGTCAGCAGAAATCCAGAAAAGTTTACAAACTGGATGAGCATCAGCTTTTTTGTTAAACGTATTTCTTTCATAGTTCAAATTAAATAAGTAAAATACTTTAAACTTCCTCTTTAGGTATTTTGACCCAGCATCTGGAAAATTCAGCAAATCTGCCACCAGTCCAGATGGAAAGAAATTGCCACGAACATTTTGCCAGCTCATTTTGGATCCCATCTTCAAGGTAAGACCAAGTTTTTTCAGTTAGAAGTGTGTTTTCAGGGATTTCCCCAGGTTTAATTAGAAAGAGGCTAAAACTTTAAACTTGGGTTCCAAATGAGGAATCTGTTAAATCTACAATATATGAAGTGTCATTGTGTCATTATTGACACACAACATGCAGCAGCATATTTGAGCACAATTAAAATGTATAACAGTAAATAAAAACCATCATTTTGACAAACTCTGTTCTCTAGATCTTTGACGCTATTATGAGCTTTAAGAAGGAAGAAACAGCCAATCTGTTACATCTACAATATATGAAGTGTCATTATTGACACACAACATGCAGCAGCATATTTGAGCACAATTAAAATGTATAACAGTAAATAAAAACCATCATTTTGACAAACTCTGTTCTCTAGATCTTTGACGCTATTATGAGCTTTAAGAAGGAAGAAACAGCCAAGCTGATCGAGAAACTCGACATCAAGTTAGATGCAGAAGATAGAGACAAAGAGGGCAAACCACTCCTTAAGGTATTCTACAGTGCTCTAATCTAGTTGTTCAATTTGGCCTTCCACTATCCAGATTTTAATTGGTGTTAATGGAATAGGAACATTTTTGTGCTGTTTCCCATCTGGTTTCACTATCAAGCATTTCACTGGAGCATTTCATGCCTCTCATAAGGACCTATTGTTTATCAGTTACAAAAGTTGGAATGTATAGGTTGGTCACGGGGCTAAAGGAAAGCTTGTGACAGCTAGCGCATTATAGCTTATTGTAAACTGTTTGGAAGTTTGAGCCTAGAGATATGGGAATAGTACTTTAGTCTGCAACACAAAAATAGGATGTTTTTAGAAAGGAGAGAACTTCGCATGCTCAAGTTGAGCAAAAACCAACACGCATTTAAATCCTGCTAATGTGGCACTAGCACAAAAGATTGTGTGTGTGTGAATATATAAGCTGCTGTGGGAATTACAGTTTCAGCGTGGTCTCAGGATGCTTCCACATGTGGAATGTGCAGACTAGTGCCACTGATCTGTGGGAGACTTTCTAGAAAAGCAGGATCAGAATCCATGGTTCCCCTTCACCCAGTTGAGCCATCCTCCCATAGCTTCCCCTCCTGGATGCCTAGTGTGCCAGCTTCAAGAGGAGAGCTAGAAAGGAGGCAATGTCTACACCATAGCTTGAGGGGAAGTAGGAGACAGATTCAAATCCCCTCTGGGTGAGGGAGGGCCTAGGGCCTGCATCTCTTGCTGCCTGGACAGGTGCCCTAACAGTTTAAGCTATTGGGCTAAAAGGGGGAGGGTCCTCCATAGCTTTGGGGAATTGAAATTGGGCAAAGGTGCCAAGAATTGCAGTGCTGTGGTTACAGAATGCCACTTGGGTACATAAAGGTCAGATGGACCCTCGGTGCCTACTGTTAAGTTAGTCTCATCAAACATTAAAACTGACATTTCTCTTCACAGCTTCAAGAGTTTAATTTTAAAAAGTAGCTTCCAACTGAAATGTAGCTCACCAGCTTGAAAAACCTGAGTTTTTAGAACATTCCCTTTGCGTGATTCCAGTGCACGGGTCACTGGAACCAAAAGGGAGCCAGTTAGTCTGTGAACTTTTTGGTGATGCCAAAAGAGTATTTGATTTAGTCATCCTGGTTTTTACTTCAGTTGGACAGTATATTTCTGGGGTCAGCCAAGTACCTCAAACTTGGTTTCAGTTCTGATTCAGTATTTGGGATTCCCAGGCTGTAATGCGTCGCTGGCTGCCTGCTGGAGATGCCTTGCTTCAGATGATCACCATACACCTGCCTTCCCCTGTAACTGCACAGAAATATCGCTGTGAACTTCTGTATGAGGGGCCGCCTGATGATGAAGCTGCGATGGGTAAGCAAGCAGCTCTCCTTGTGGAGTTAGGTTGCTAATTCAGTGGTTGTAGAAAAGATGAATGTCCATTATTACACACACTAAAGTAAAAGTGACCAGCTTACAAGCTGCTTAGAACAGACTGGGGTTTTGTAACTGCATTGGGCTGGCATTTTCCTAACTTTCTTGGTTTTATTACTGTGTCTGTGCAATGTCTAGGGCTCATAGGATCCCCATGTGGATGAGGCACCTCGGCCTTTCCCAGTACAAATGTGTGATAGCTGTTCCATGTTGTCAGTGCTGCTCAGTGTCCATGCATGTGCCAGACGTCCTGCCACATGAAACTTGATGCTATCCAATTCACTTTCAAAGAGACTTGGGGTGATGTGCAGTGACCTTTGGAGGGACAGCACATGGAAATGAGAGAGGAATTGTATGACCCTAGATCTTCCTGCTGTATTTACAGTAGCCTAATAGGGAATCCTGTTGACCCGCTTCCACTATTGCAGGTGTCAAGTGAAGTCACAGCAGCAGTATTGCATGGTTTGTGTCTGTTCACACTGCTGCTTCAATTCCAGACCATTCTTATGTGGAGTTTCACGATATTTTATCTTGTTCAAAGTCTAAATGAAGTCACCAGAGAATGTGTCGGTAAAGTGCAGATATCTCCAGTGTCTGAGGCAAATGATACCATTTCCAAGCTATCCAAATGCTTTGTTCAGATCTGCAACTGGCCAAGGCAAAATTTGGAAAAGACAGGCTATGCTTGTAGGGAGAGCAAAACCCTTTGAAGAACGTATCGCCTCTGGGATATTGTCCTTCATTGAATGCATCTTCAGCCTTATTGATACCTAAATCTCTTACCACGTTAGAAACCTAAATAGTTGTGGATCCAAAAAAGCCATCTAAAATTGGCAAGAAGATGGTGCTTCCTTCTGACAGATTTAGCTTAGATTTAGCCACAGGGAAGCATGTATTTGCAAGGGCTGGACCTGATTAGAAATTCTTTGCTCCTAGGCCTTAAACCTAGGTTTCAAGCGGTTCAAATCACAACAGATCATGTGCTTAGTTGCATAGTTCCCTGAGCAGATATCACTTTAGTGTCCTCTAGTTTTTCAGGTTGGATTGGAATGTAGGGTCAGAACTTACATTTTTTGTCATCTTTAAAGTTTATATGGAAACGAGCTAAGTTCCCAGAGGGGACTCTGTGATCGGCTTTTCATGCCAGCTGCACTCTAATGAAACAACCCACTGAGTAAGCCATGTGCGTGCAGGAGGCAGATTTACTGGTGAATCTTGCATTTATGAAGCTTGATTGCGGAAGAGATGAGAATGACAAGATCCCTTGTATCTCTCATGCATACTTTAACAACCCTTGCAGCAGCAGGACACTGGCCACCATTAACCCCCTAATTTACCTGTGGTGTGTTAGGGTGTTATGCCTTGTGGTTGTGTGTCTAGTTTTACTAATAGGTTAGACAGGGATTTGTATGGGAAGGTTTGGATGGGGATGATCCTGCCTCAGGCAGCAGTTGGACTAGATGACTTTCAGAGATCCCTTTTAGCCCTGCTTTTCTGTGATTCTTTGACAGGAGCGACCATAATTCTTATAACCTAATCAGCCCCAACCCTCTGCCACACACACAGGCCCCAGTCTGTCCCCTGCTGTTAAGAAGGGGGTTGGGGGGACAATAATATAATTCAGGGCTGTCCAGCTGGCAGCCCCGAGCTGTATGCAGCCCACAGGCCCCAACAGCTGCCTCTAGCTGACATGTGGTGGGGAAGGACCCCAAGGGTCTGCATGCCACTTGTGCAGCCTGCACAGCAGGACCACATGCTGCTACTGCAGCCTGCGTGACAGGCAGGGAAGGATCAGTCTGTGCGGTGTGGGGGAATCCCAGGAGGGTTGCTCCCAGTGTGCAGCCTGTGAGGGATATGCCCCAGAGGCAGCACGCAAGCACCACATGCAGTCACTAGCTATTCCAGAGTTGGACAGCCTGATTTATTTAATAATATTAAATAAACTTAATCTTGGAAGGCACTTGTATTTCAGAGTGAGAGGACCCATAAAAAACCTGGTCCGAAGATGTAAGAGGGGAAGGAAATGCTCAGCAAAGTGTTAGCTCTTGTCTTGAAGCCTTAAGGAAAATGCATTGTTTTACTGCAGGTGTCAAAAACTGTGATCCTAAGGGCCCTTTGATGATGTACATCTCCAAAATGGTCCCCACAACTGATAAGGGACGTTTCTATGCCTTCGGACGTGTCTTTTCTGGTGTCGTTTCCACTGGACAGAAGGTTCGAATCATGGGCCCAAACTACACGCCAGGCAAGAAGGAAGATCTTTACCTAAAACCTATTCAAAGGTAGATGCAATTAGTTTGCTTCTTTTGAAGAATGCATGCAACAAATTAATTATTTGCAAAGTCTGTTTTGGGAAACCTAATACAAGGATCGTTTCCTTTGTCTGTCTGTCTGTCTGCTTTTTTTAAGACCTCTTTTATAATTTTGGGGCTTATATAACAAAATTAAAAAGCCAGAGGGAAGGCAATTATAGAAACTACCTTTGTATAAAAAGGCTTAGTTTTTGGAAATACTGAGGATAAATCAAATATTCAAGGACTGTTGCTCATCCTCTGTCTTTATAGAACCATTTTGATGATGGGTCGTTATGTTGAGCCCATTGAGGATGTACCTTGTGGCAACATTGTTGGTCTAGTTGGTGTTGACCAGTTTTTGGTGAAGACGGGTACCATTACCACGTTTGAACATGCACACAACATGAGAGTGATGAAATTTAGTGTTAGTCCAGTTGTACGTGTTGCTGTTGAAGCAAAAAACCCTGCTGATCTGCCAAAACTAGTTGAAGGTCTAAAGCGGCTGGCCAAGTCTGATCCTATGGTTCAGGTGAGTGTTAGCTGTAAGTTTTAGATTTGGAATGTATTGGTGTGCAGTGACACTTTCTGAGGGACGAGACACTCTCAAAGAGCTTTTGTGACCTAGTATGTAGGATCTGCAGCCATACACTTTTGTGCTGTAAGCATGTGATAGAGTACAAGTCAATAGAGATTAGTCTAGCTAAAACTGGAAGCATCTCAGGAAAGCCCTAGAGGTAGCACTTCTGTTTCTATGTTCTCACAGAAACAGTGCTCTAGCATGATTGGAGATACTATTGTTCAGGTGAGGCTGCAAAACTGAGGCCCCTACTACTTACCATTCATGGTACATCTTCCAACAGCATGGGTTTTGTTAGCTGTAGCCTCCTAGCTAAATTGCAGATAGCTTTTGTCCTGCCTAATTTGCTATGCAGCTTCAACGTGATGAAGCATTCTTCACTTGTCATCCTAAATTACTTTCGTAGTGTTTCCTGTATGATGTTTAAATCAGTTGCAACATTTCATTTAAAATGCTCTACATTCTGCTGGTGGGAAAGCATTTTATAAACTATATATATATAAAAAAAGGCACTGCATTAATGTTAAGAAGATACTTCATTAATCTTCTCAGCAATAGGTATCACTAACAATTTTGGAAAAATATACCTGTACATTACTGATTAGTCTATAATAAAGTATTTACTACTGTTGCTTAACAAGTGTTTCTTGTTCTAGTGTATTATTGAAGAATCTGGTGAGCACATCATTGCTGGAGCTGGTGAGCTACACCTGGAAATTTGCCTTAAAGATTTGGAAGAAGATCATGCTTGTATTCCCATCAAGGTATGTTAGCATATCAGCAAACATAAAGTATAGACTTTTTCAAAGACAAAAGGGCTCCTAACGTAGGCACTGTCTTCGAAAACCTTCATTTGCACTAACACTTCAGTTGGCAGTGGGAAATTAAGTTATTTGTTTTTTGGGTTTTCTTTTTTTTCCACTGGATATTTTCTGTAAAACAGACTTGGGAGAATAATGATCGTACCTGTAAATACACTGCCATTCTTCTGTTTGTCTTACATCAGGGAACACTTGCATGAGTGAAACTGGGTTTAAAACTTCCTAAGGAGGGGAAACGAGCAACATTGGTTATCCAAAGGGGAAACAGGCATTTTCATATCTGTACTATCATGCTAGACTTCTTTTATACTCTTAGCATAAAATGTCATGCTCGCTATTAATTTATCGGGCTTTATTTGCCATCTCGCAGAAATCGGACCCAGTTGTATCGTATCGTGAGACAGTCAGCGAGGAGTCAACCCAGATGTGTTTATCTAAATCCCCTAATAAACACAACAGGCTGTATATGAAGGCCCGGCCCTTCCCCGATGGTCTGGCAGAGGATGTAGACAAAGGAGATGTTGCTGCCCGTCAAGAGCTGAAGCTGCGCGCACGTTACCTGGCAGAGAAATATGAGTGGGATGTGTCTGAGGCCCGCAAGATCTGGTGCTTCGGACCTGATGGAACAGGCCCAAATATCTTAGTTGACATCACCAAGGGTGTCCAGTATCTGAATGAAATCAAAGATAGCGTTGTCGCTGGCTTCCAGTGGGCCACAAAGGAAGTAAGTGTAACAGTAGCTTAGCTGTTTTGTGTATTATCCAAACTTATTTTATCTATAAGTGTTATGAAGTTATCCGGTGCCGGCATGATATTCAACAGATACTTAAAATTTGCTGTCTTGGACATTGGTTCCAGTACAACTTTCTGATTCTCCTGATGTGTTTTCATTTATTACAAACATGAGTCCTCATGATTCTAATTTTAAGGCCAGCATCTCATTGGAAGCACATTGTCAAATATAGTACCAACAGATTCTTCACATCTGCAAACACTTTCCAAGTAGTAAAATGTTGCCATACCAAATCCACCATTTTCTTCTTCTTTCAATCCTGTAAAAGGCCATCAACTCTTTTGCAGGGCGTGTTGTGCGAGGAGAACATGAGAGGCGTTCGTTTTGATATCCATGATGTTACTCTGCATGCCGATGCTATTCACCGTGGTGGCGGGCAAATAATTCCTACTGCCAGGAGGGTCTTGTATGCATCTGCTCTTACAGCACAGCCCAGGCTTATGGAACCCATCTATCTGGTAGAGATCCAGGTATGCCACAGAATCACCAGACTGGAGACGGGAGGGGGGAGATGTTGTATTGTTTCTAGGAAATGACTGTTGTAATCGTATGTAATTTTCAGTGTTTATAGTTTTGAGTTGTACAATTCAGAACCGGGGAGAAATTGAACAGCAGTGGCTAGACGCAGCAGGATGAATTCTCACCGTTCTTTGTAAACTGTCCATGCATCTCATGGAAACCAAAACTGTCCTGCTTTGCCTTTCCATGCTCTTGTCACTGTGGCTGTGCATGGGGAACCTGGAATAAGCAGCAAATGACTTTGAAAACAGGATTTGCATGTAGATATCCCAAGTACCAGAAAGGGGATAGAAACGAGAACAATCGAGGAGGCTCTGCATTGCTAAATACATCTCTGTAGACTTAGGCAGACAAGGTTCCTTGGGTGAATTTGATATCTTTTATTAGACCAACCCAAATAGTTGGAGAAAAGTTATTAAGCAAGCTTTCGGGTTCAAAACCCCAATTAGACCAACACTGCTATAACCTAAACGTCTCTGTAGACTTAGCTTTTTTTTTTATTATTATTTAAGTTTTGACCTGCCTGAACAGTAATCGCTTCCCTACCCCCAGTCAAGAAAATTCAAGCCGCTTTGGTTTAGCGAATGAAATTTTTGTATACAAGAGATTCTTGTTAGTTTTAAAAGTATCCATCTCTTGCTAGAGTGGTCAGTACACATACCATTTAAGGAAAGAAGGTGCACTTCATCCTGGCTGTACTTCAGAAATGTATTCTAGTTATTTATTTTTTTTAAATCAGAAATCTCTTAAGTCTACATCTTATATCAGCTTATTGCTCCTCTGTTTACCACACTAAAGTCAATGTCTTGCAATGCAGAATTTAGTCCTCTTGGGACTATTACTGAAAAACATTTTTTTTTATAGCATCCCTAATGGTATCTTTATATGTGTAAAAACAGGGTGCTTCCACCTCCGGTAAAGTACGATGTTAGGCTGTACAAATGGTGGAGCCTTGCATACCAAAGTAGCTTGCCTTGTTGCCAAGATATGGAGGCTTCTTGTTTTCCATAGGCAGAAAGATAGTTAAAGTACTTTGAGCTTGTCACCTCTGGGCATCATTGTACAGATATGCTATAATCCAGTCTGTCCGAGGTCCCAGAGATTTACCACCTCTGACTGGTGCTGAGGCTGGTGATTGATGCGCTTTTCAGGAAGTATCTTGGAGAGACTGGATGGAAGAGGGAGACAGATCCAGTGGGGACCATTAGGTGTGATTTGTCTGGCTTTTTTTGCCATTGCTATACTTAATGTCAAGCAGTTGTTGCATGCATGTGACTTGGTACCAATTCTCTTCATAGTGCCCAGAACAAGTGGTTGGCGGGATCTATGGTGTGTTGAACAGGAAACGGGGTCACGTCTTTGAAGAATCCCAAGTGGCAGGAACCCCAATGTTTGTGGTCAAGGCTTATCTACCTGTAAATGAGTCTTTTGGTAAGATGGTCCTGTTCTCTCTGTAAGCATGCCTGGCTGATAGGTGTGGCATCCCACATGATTAACTGGCATTAATCAAATGGGAAATCTCACACTTTTGGTCACCTTCCTGCATTTTCTGCTTTATCAGTTCATTGCCTCAAAAGTAGTAGTTCCCCTTTTCCCCAAGTCTGACAGGAAGGCAGCCTGCTCCAGCAGGCATCAAGTCCTCTTTGGCACCACTTGCTGATGTGCAACAACTTCTCCCCAGTTCGAAAGTGTTTCATGTTTACCAGAACAGTCATTCAAAATCTAAGCCCCCTCTACACATGCAGGTAAAGGCATGATGGGATCTAATGCACAATCCACACAATAGTGCCTTCTTTGCATGGCAGGAGGTGTGATTGTGGGATCTCAAATCAGATCCCATCAATCCTTACTGCCAAAGAAGCAAGCTTCTGCAGCTGAGCCCCCCTCAACTGATTGGGCTCCCAGCCACAGGGGTCCCTGGCCACATGTTCAATTAATAGCATGTTAGGAAGCAGCTACAAAGTTATTACACAATTTGTGGAGTAATTTTGTAGCTTCTTCCTCTTTCTGTCACGTCATAAACTGATTGAATGTGTGGCCAGGCAACCACTTAAAGAGTGTGATTAACTGGTTAATCACGCCTTGAGTGCAATATGTAGATGGAGCCTAAGTATGCTTACTAAAAATGTGAGCAGAGGCCCCTTCTATTCCACAGCAAGCTGGACCTTGAAAGGATTCTAGTTTCTGTGGTTCTGGATTAGAAATCCTATATATTTTTTTTTTTTGGTTTAAATTTAAAAACTGAAGGGACCAGCTCTCAACTAAGTTAAACTTCATTGGAGCTAGAAACTCACTGGAGCTGGTAAAGTGAAGATGCCAAAAACTGATGTTTCCTAGTGACACGGTGTGAGCTGATGTTCTTAAATACTGAAATCAATGTGGCTGAATACACTTGGGCTGTTGAGGAAGTGTGAGCTGATGTTCTTAAATACTGAAATCTCTCTTAATGTGGCTGAATACACTTGGGCTGTTGAGGAAGCAGCAGCACTTGGTGACAAGGGGCAAATGCTGAATGAGCTAGTTGTCCTTTAGTCAACACACTTGAGATTTGTATCCTTTAAGTACAGAGAAGTGCCTGGGACACGCGTGTTGTGGAAACCCCATCCTTGAAAGCTTTTAAGATCAGTTTAGATAGGGCTGATCCTGCCTTGAGCAGGAGGTTGGACTAGGCCTCATGAGGTCTCTTCCAGCTCTAATTTCCTGTGACAGAGATGCAGCGAGAGAGAGTGAGTTTTGTGTTTCTGATATGTTCCTTTCCAGCAGACAGTTATAACAGCAAAGTCTGATGCTGTTAGACCAACATAAAAGGATTTTTGGCTAGTACAGGTTACTGTCTTGGAGAACCTGGTATAGGCTGTAATGGCAAGAGTTACTTTGCTTGTGTAAACTGCATCTCTCTCTGGGTTCAAGAGATTCCTGACATAGCTGCGCCAACCAGGCCTGTAGAAACAGCCATATCCTCTTCCCAAGGTGCCAGGACCCAGTGTCGCTTACTTGCAGGTGTTTAAAACAGTGTGATCACAGTAGAGTTAGGTTAATGTCATATTGGGTTAAGTTGCAGGGCAACCAGGCACAGTAGCTGTCAGAAAGGAACGGCCAAACTAGGACTGCTCTGTTCTCTTCTAAGACATTTGTGACCTGGTTTTGGTCCTACCACTTTCCAGTGGGGCACCAGAAGGAAAGAATAGATGGTGTTGGGAGCAGGGGAGATGATCTGCTTAATTCTGCAAGTGCTTCTTTTACCTGCAGTTGATATGCTAAGAGAGCATTCAGCAATGGACCATGTCGTGATAAAATGTAACCAACTAACTTAACTAACCTTTTTGGCTCTTCTGGGTCCTGGCACATGCCCAGGTTTGGATTAATTTAGCCTCTTGGCCTCTAAACAGCTAAAAATTTCATTGCCCAATGTAGTGGTTGCAAAAACTATGGGGATTCAGAACCTCTACAAAGATAACAAAGAAAGTATTTTCCAAGTAACTTGACTCTCTCTTCCATCCTTCACCAGGTTTCACTGCTGACTTGAGATCTAACACTGGTGGTCAGGCTTTCCCCCAGTGTGTCTTTGATCATTGGCAGATTCTGCCTGGAGATCCTTACGATATAAATTCTCGTCCTTGTCAAGTCGTGGCTGAAACACGTAAGCGCAAAGGCTTGAAGGAGGGTATCCCACCTCTGGACAACTTCTTAGATAAGTTGTAACCACATCCTCCACTTGTCATATGTTACAATGCCTGGCTTCATATTACATTTCCTCATGAAACCAGGAGGGAAGTGGGAAGCTTGAGACCACCACATTGAATACAAACACAAGCCAACACATTGCAATTATGTCATGATCACCTACTAAAGAAAGTAAATAAAATAAGTGTTCAGTTGACTGACTTCTGAAGTTATTCTTGCTTGCAACTCTTACAGTTATTTACAAGTTGGATAAAACATGTAGGAATTACTTGCCTAAAGATTCGTACATTGTACTTTCTTTCCTAGTTGCTTTCCAGGTAAGAGGGCTGTTGTGTCCATTTGACATGATACAGGAATTCCTGCAGAATGGTTCATTTGGATTTTGCTTAGCATCACATTTAGTTTCCCTCTTCAAAAAGGCATGTTCCAGACTTGTGATAAGTGTGCCTGGAAGCCAAGGACTAGATTCAGAAGGGTTTTTTTTTTTTTTAGGTGGTGGCATTCACAATGCAGGTAGGCATTTGTAACTCCCAACTAGCTGGATGTCTAAATTCCTAGTGCTGGGCCCCCCTTCCTCCAAGTGGGATTCAGACTAGCTGACAGACAGCCTGTTGTGCATCCCTCCCACAGAATCCAAGATGGTAGCCCCTTATGCCATATAGCCCCCCTGTGGGAGACTGACTCAAGTCTCTCCTCTGCCTGACTGGATTTGAATGCTGGTCTTCCACCTCAGAGTGCCCTACCTGCTGGGTTGTCAAGCTACCTATGTCAGGTGTCTTCTGAAGCAGTTTTAGTTTTTTCCCCCCCAAAAGAACATACCGACACTCTAACGTGGTGGTTAAAGCACTTGCTTGGGACATGGGAAGTTAGGTTTCTTGTTCCAAAGAATTTTTATACAGGAGAGGCTGAAAAATTCTCCTACTCCTCTGAATACAAAAATGAACCAGTTGCTTGAGTGCACATGGCTGGTAGGATTTGAATTGAGGTTTCCTGCATTCTGGGTGGGAGTACCTCCTGTAGGCAGGCCTAGATGGCTCCCTGCACAGCCCCAGCTTCCATGGATCCTGTTTTTTTTAAGTACTCTTCTATTTCTGTATTTGCGTTTACTACCTTGATGCTGTGAATTTGATTAACTGTTTGTGGATGGAAGGAAAGGCTTTATTTAACTTGCTGTCCTAATCTGCCAGCCTTGTCTGTTTGTACCTTCCTGGGTAATATAACAACCGAACCTGGTAAAGGTGCGTCTGGTTATGCTCAAGGCACAAAACAGGGTAATTCTAGTGTGGGAGCTTACTGGAAGAGAGGTTCAGTAGACATCTTAATGCTGTGGAGAGCAGAGCCTTTCTATGAAATCAGTTAGTGGTGCACTGTGCAACAGCTGGTCTTTCCTTAAGGATGGACTTCTTGCCCCCCAGCTGGTTTTGCCAGTTCAGCATGCTGCGCAGGCTTCTCCATCTCCAGTAGGGGGGGAAGAATTGTGGACCCCTCCTCTCAGTTGTGACATTTCTTCATAAGTGGGAACAATTCAGAAAAATGCTGGCTGTCCTTTCAGGAACATGCAAGGGCAGAGGATGCTGCAGGCAGGGAAGGAAGCTTGCAAGACCCATTAGGACAGCCTGATACATGGTGCAATTCCCCATATGCATGTGTGGGTAGAACTACCATGGGGCTGTTATTCCACAAGTACCAAATGCTGCTCAACCAACCATGGCTGTAAAACCTCATGCATAAGGTAACACACGTTATTGACCTGCATGAGCAGCTTGCCTCAGCACTTTGTACAACTCTACACAAACCAGAGGTGGGGTATTATGGCTACCTGGAAACCAGCTACCTCACCCTGCTAGAGGTCCAGGGGCAGTCAGGCTGGTGTTCTCTTACAACCAAGAACTTAATGTAGGGGACCCCCGCCAAAAAAAGTACACGACTTAAAAGGTACCTTTTACTGCTGGCTAGAGGTAGTGCTTCCCTCCATCCCATAGACTTTAGTGGTACACAGTTCACTTACTGCTGCCTAGCTGACGCTTCAAATTTTGAACCAGGGACCAGATTCCTGGTAACTATTTTGCTGCTAAAATGGGTGTGTACTGAGAAGGAAAGCTTCCCACTTAACAGCTGGACTCTATGTTGAGCAAAGTACCATGGGCTCTTCAGCTGTTTAGGGAAAACCAACACCCCTTCGTACCTGGCAGCTCATTTCAAATAAGGACTTCAGCAGTAACACGGCGGTAAGCGAAGCACACAACAAACTTCCTGTGCAGCAAGAGACTTGCATGCAACAAACCCTCTCCCAGAAAACGCCAAGTTGGAAATTTATCTCCAGCTGCATTGATTTGGGCTGCTTGATAGGAGGGAAGCACTGAACACTCAGAGCAGCACAAGTACTAGAAAAAGGAACAATCTCTCCCTCCAAGCCAAGCAGATACACCCACCTGGGCCAGCACAGCATTTGGCCCATGTCAGTTTGTAAGTACCAAGCCAGTGACACCATTTCATCATGAACTTCTACAGCAATGATTAAGTAACCCTGGTTTTCCTTAAGAGATGCCAACTGTTGAAGCGTGGATTAAATTTCAGCTAATGCAATTGTGCTGGTTTTCCTTCAGTTCATTAGGAAATCGGTACTGAGGATCAACTAGTCGCCTAGAAACAAACAACAAGCAGCATGGCTTTATTAAGCATAAATCATGCTGGGGGCGGGGGGAAAAGCTTGATCACTGACAGGTACAAAACTAGAAGACGAAGGGGGGAAAAATAGTGGCTGCTCTATTAAGACACAAGCTGAACAAGAGCTGAAAGATCATACAAAGAAAGTGCTTCAAATTTTGAACCAGGGACCAGTTTCCTGGTAACTATTTTGCTGCTAAAATGGGCGTGTACCAAGGAGAAGGAAAGCTTCCCACTTAACAGCTGGACTCTATGTTGAGCAAAGTACCATGGGCTCTTCAGCTGTTTAGGGAAAACCAACACCCCTTCGTACCTGGCAGCTCATTTCAAATAAGGACTTCAGCAGTAACACGGCGGTAAGCGAAGCACACAACAAACTTCCTGTGCAGCAAGAGACTTGCATGCAACAAACCCTCTCCCAGAAAACGCCAAGTTGGAAATTTATCTCCAGCTGCATTGATTTGGGCTGCTTGATAGGAGGGAAGCACTGAACACTCAGAGCAGCACAAGTACTAGAAAAAGGAACAATCTCTCCCTCCAAGCCAAGCAGATACACCCACCTGGGCCAGCACAGCATTTGGCCCATGTCAGTTTGTAAGTACCAAGCCAGTGACACCATTTCATCATGAACTTCTACAGCAATGATTAAGTAACCCTGGTTTTCCTTAAGAGATGCCAACTGTTGAAGCATGGATTAAATATCAGCTAATGCAATTGTGCTGGTTTTCCTTCAGTTCATTAGGAAATCGGTACTGAGGATCAACTAGTCGCCTAGAAACGAACAACAAGCAGCATGGCTTTATTAAGCATAAATCATGCTGGGGGCGGGGGGAAAAGCTTGATCACTGACAGGTACAAAACTAGAAGACGAAGGGGGGAAAAATAGTGGCTGCTCTATTAAGACATAAGCTGAACAAGAGCTGAAAGATCATACAAAGAAAAAGTCTCAGCGCTACAGAAAACATGGAGGAAGATTGCTGGAGGGCTCTACAATGAGCTCTCTCTGCATACTTGGTTCAGATACCATGATAAACTGCCATGCGTATGCCTACAACTGTGGAAGGCAAGCATCTCCCCCACTTAGGGAAAAGACAAAAGTTGGGGGAAAAGGCAGAAAACTTAGCAAGATTAAATGACGAGTGAAAACTGGTTGCTACCTGAAGAATTTTAAATACAGATACTCGTGAAGCACAACACTTGGCAAAGTGGTCATGTCAAGATATGCAGAAGATACAGCAATGCCGTAATTCCAGTTCTGAAGCAAAAGCACTTCCTCATTCCTTTCTTGGTCTCATGACATCTGCATGCAGCAGTGTGAATACCGTGTACACTTCGGCAGCTACACAAATGAAGCAGCAGAGGGGAAACATCCAACTTATGGGAGAGGGGATGGAAAAGGGTTCATTTAAAATCTAATCAGCAAATCTTTAGATGGACCAGCCAAACTACTGGGAGCATGTACAATTAGATCTCATATATAAATATATATATATTTTGGTTTTGCAGGGACAGTAAGTGCCTACAAGCATTTGAGGATGCAATTACAGGAGTCTGCACAACTAGCAACACAGCAATGGACAGACAACAATTACTTTCCCCACAGTGTGGGAAACCATGCAGCAACCCTAAAAAGGGAAGGCTCATTAGTCATTTAAGCACACCAATAAAGTCAACCTTGGGCAACATACAGGCTCGAGAATGATCCTCCACTGGACAAAGAATGAGATAAAAAAATTAAGTAGTTTCTTGGCAACTGTAAGAGCTGCACAGAAAGGCTTGCAGCTCAGTTTGACTATCTGTTCTGGTTAGGTAGTTATAGAAAGAAAACAAGGAGTTAGTTGTTTGAACAATAACTTGTGTTTCACCTGATACAAGAGGTCTAACCAGAAATTACGGCCTACAGCCAGGCTCTGCATAGTAATGCTTTTACACTATGAATTGACAATGCACATAGAGGTGTGTGGATGATGCAGGATTTGCATAGTTTTCTTTTTCTCTAAAAATCCACTAGGAAGAGGAAGTAGTCACAGCTTAGGATTTTGTTTGCATTCATAAGTAAACAACATGAAGTCAGGAGAAAAAAAACCCCACCAAACAATTCACGGAAGTATTTTCCAGGGTAAGGAGGAGGTAGGGAACAACCTAAACAAATATAAACACAAGCCATGGCTATTTCACAAAGCTTCATTCTCTCAAATGAAGTTTATTACAGGCCCCAGTGAAGGATTAAAAGTTCGGCAATGCATACTTCTGCACCCTGTTCTTGCATCCAGGATAAATATATGCTCTTGTCATCCTAGAGCCATTAAGTGCCATTATTAAAAAAAAAAAAAAGTTCTCTTTTTACATTATTGCTGTGTATTACAACAAAAATACAAAGCCACTTGTGGAATCCATCTGGCAACAAAACCAAGCGTTTCCCCAGAACAAGCTGGACAGGGTAGTGGGCCTGTTCTGAATGGGTCTCTTTTTATTCCAAGTTTCTCTCTTACGAGCGAGGGAAAAAACAAAAAGATTCTAATCACTTCAGTTCCTACTGTCACTGTAGTTAATTTAATCTCCGCTTTTAGAAAGCGACAGAATCCATCCGTCTTTCAATAAATATCAAAATAACTTCCGAGATGCTGAAGTTGCGTGTCTCGGTTATGGTGAGCAGCTCTGTGCGATTGCTTCTCCAGTTTCTTGCTGCCCAGGGTTTCAGTCTAATGAGATGACGTCGGGAATTGTGCTTCCACTACTAGTTATGACTCCGGTCTCGTTCCTGCTTGAAGAACTAACGTGAGTGCTGCTCTCGTGGTGGCTGGTTGAGGTGATGATGCTGCCAGGGGTGTTGCTTGTTAATGTTGAGGTGAGACTATCCAAAAACATAGGAGCACAGTACTGCTTGAAACAAACAATGATGCCGATAAGGAAGAGACTAGCTGCACAAGGGAAATGTATGCGCTGAAGATACATTTCCCTTATAAATAGTAAGCAAGCTACAACAACCTCACTGCAACAACACATGATGCATAGTAAGAATCAGAGGTCTGCAAGCCAGTATGCAAGCAAACCAAAAATAAATAACATCACAGTGCAGACCCTGCTCATTCACTTGCGAGGGCCAGGCTGGTTCAAACATCACTTAAAGATGCTGGATATTTGGCACTATATTGGGAAATACATAGGTGTGAAATAAAGGTCTTGTGTTGCTACAAAAAAGTCTGTCATTTGTGGAAGGTCTGCTCCACAACTTGCAGCCCCCTCACATATACACACAGCACCTTCCATCTTGTATGACACCAGAAACACTTAGCAAAATTCAGCATGGACAAAGCTCACTCTCTTCCACTCGCATGCAGCCAGAGTAGCCATGTAACAGTATACAGCACCGCTAGCAGTTCAAACAGGTTCTACTGCAAGTGTTGGGAACATTTTGGGCAGGTTCTTATGAGCAAGGGGGAAAAGGGCCATAAGCAATCTACTAGGAAGCATCCTCCCTTACAAGCAGGGTATTCATAACTGCCGATCATGGAGCATTCTGTATTTTTCTCAGATGCAAGTAGGCACGGTCTGAGATGGGATTGGTTGTATGGCACCTCCTATGCACCTGGCTAGTCCTGATGACTTGATTTTTAAGCAAGCAACCATGAAATACAAAAACTAAAAAAGTTTAAGAAATGCCAATGTAGTCTAGAAACATACCTGTGGATCGACTGGAATTAGTGAAAGAAAATCCAGACCTAGAAAGATAAGAATAAAATTAATTCCCATCTCTTCCATGAGCTAAGAGTTTTGGTATAGCTTTAAAAAGAGTATTTTAAAGAGAATGCGTTAGCTATAAAGCACTTAGCACAGGATAAATGTGACACTAATTTCAACCAACAACATGAAGGGGGCAAGGGAGGTGGGGGAAGTTATCTAGTACAAGTGGAGCTTAATTAAATGAAAGGGAGGTGATGAGGTGTTCATTGGAAATTTTGGGATATTTTTATTTAATGTGGTTGCTTAAATGGAACTATTGGTCCAAAACGCTAGTTTCACTGGATGTTGTACCGGACTTGGCCAAAATGGGACTTGGAGTGAGTTCTCTACAACAGATCCTCAAATGAGACAAGGCGACTACATGCACAAGTCCAGAAGCAAGCAGCAACTCTTCCTTTACCAGCGACAGCCAGCAAGGACACATTTCTAAAAGTCATCCCCGTTTTGTGTCTGTCTAGACAAATGAAAGGAATAGACAAGCCACTGTGAGCAGTTCAAACAATAAGCTCCAAGAGCAGGGACTAAAGTTTTCTCATCTTTTGCACTGGGGTATAGAAACTTCCTAATGCTCCTAGCCACAAACCAATCTTGACACGGGCAAGAGCTGGACAGGGAAAAAAAAAACCAACCAAAAAACAAAAACCATTCATGACATACATGCCCCAGAGACCATACACCCCTAGCCACAAACCAATCTTGACATGGGCAAGAGCTGGACAGGGAAAAAAAAACCAACCAAAAAACAAAAGCCATTCATGACATACATGCCCCAGAGACCATAGCACATAGTGCTCCAGCTCCAACAGTGATGTTAGCGAATGATTTCCCAGAATGAATAATAAGCAGGAATTGAAGAAAATAAAAAAAATAATAATAAAAAAAAAAAAAGTGAAAAAGCAGATTTTTTTTTTTTTTTTTTTTTTTTTTTTAAAATTTTTTTTTTTTTTTACTAGAGAGACTTCAGTCTTCCAGTTCTGAAGACCTTGGCCTTGCCTTTCTCAGTTCACTAGAAAGAAATGGCAAGTGGAATGGGCAACAGCAAAACCCACGCTCCATCTCTCCCACTGACCCTTGCCCTCCAGCCAGTTCTGGGTAGTGGTCCCTTTCCTCCGGCAAACACTTGCAGGAGACCCCTATGGACATAAGGGATCCATTTGGATAAGTGTGCTAGAACTCCAGCTCCTCCTCAATTCTCTCCGTAAGGCTTCAGTTCATGGTAAGGTATGACTAACCTCTGAACTGTCCAGTCTAGAAAGACATTGGTTTTTCTTAAAAGTAGCAATAAAGGAACCAGAGAGCAGTGAAATGAGGGGAACGAGATGTACCCCACTGCCATCATCAAGGTGGTGCTGAAAGAGAGAGGGGGAGAAGCCACACATGTCACAGGGAGGAAAGACAGCTTGGGGATGGGGGTGTTGAACAGAAACTGATCCAGGTTTGAAGCCTGCTGTCAACCACTGTTTTTCTAGGCTCTGTATACAATGCAGTAGGTAGAAGAGTTCCCAGAGTCCCCACAAACAGCTTTTTTTTGTTAACAGCCAGGGTAGAAAATACCAGCGTTCCCACCTTTTGTTTGCTACTTAGCAGCAGGGTTGAAGAATACATCATAGGCATTTAGGGTATGTCTAGGTAAAGAAAGGCGATAGAGGTCAGCTTACACATTGTAGCTCACCTTAACCTTTTTCCTAGTCTAGAAATTACCACTAGGACCAACCTCAACCAGCTCAAAATTAAAATAAAAGGTGTTTGTCCTACTCTAGCAATAGGCTTAGCTTAGCACACAAGTTAGCTGCTGTATGGTTGCAAATTAAGATGCATACTCTTCCTGCTGTACTTTCCAGAAGTACGTTAAAATCAGATTACTTGCTCATCTCATTGCAAACCCTCTTCTAGCCAACTCGCATAGACTGCAGCAGTCGATTTGAACTTCAACGTTTCAGAAGCTCGAGTTGGAATCTGAGCTTGGATACACAGCCTAGAAACTGGCCCTCGCTGTTCCGATTTTAAAATGGCTTTAGTGCTCAGTTTAGTCTGAGTTCGCATGGCAAAACCGTATCTGTCCATACTGATGCCCCACCAATTAATAAAACTACCAGAAAAGGTTAAAAATAACCATCACCTACCTGGCAAGTCTGATGAAATACTTGATATTGGTGGGTGGTGGAATGGTACTGAGTAGTCTGTTAATGATGGAGGAATAGCAGCAGGGTCAACCGTTGTCACACTGGGCACTCTTACAGTAGATGGTTGATACATGAGAACCCTGTTTTAAACAGCATGGGAAATTACAAACAACCTGGCTGTTAGTTAACAGGAGAGAAAATTATGCACCACAGTGCACTCTCATTCACAAGGTCACTATGTTACGTTACAACACAACTAGAGTGTGGCTACTCACTACACAGTACTCCACTCTAATCTCCTCTTTCATAACAGTCTTCATTATAACATGAACGTATCTTGTCTCTCAACAGCAGCTGTGACATAAGAGCAAGTTGGCATTAAAACAAAGGACAGTGCTGGAGTCATTTATAACACTCTACCATCCAGGAAAGAAATGGATATTTGTTTGTAAAAGTTAACAGAGTACTCTGGAAATCATGGGCTGATAGCTGAAGCCAGGAAGCTTGCACATGATTAAGCTTCCCCACATATTGCTTCCTCTCTGCAGACTTCTAGCATCATAGAGGTGGTTATCATCTGCATTATTTGCTCTCACTAGAGCAGAGATAACCAATATGCATCTGACAGCAAGCCCATTTTTACTTGCAACTTAAAGCCAGAGTTAAATTCAGCTCTCCAGAGGTGCAATACAAGTACAGTAACTTACTGGGCCAACTATCCACCTGAATATTTGAGTAAGATCTTTTGGCACCTTCAAGCCGGTGGTAAAAACTTCTACACAAAACTTATACCTGGGACATACATTACTACACACTAAAAAAAAAAAAAGTCACCTCCCGAAAGACTAGCATTTGTTGTTCAAAAGCCGCAACAAATTTAATATTCTGGTGCCCGGCAAGCGGGCAGGAGGAATGCCTCCTAACAATGTACAACAGACATGAATCCTAGGAGCCATGTGGCACCAGCTATGGCATTATGGAAGGGAAATCACCGCTATCCTCTTAAGTCTTTTATTTTCTAGTGAAAGTGATGTTTACAACTCTTTTCAGCTGGAATCAGTAATGTGAGAAGATGCCTGCTGATAAGATTCCTCCACTGTTCAAGTGATGGCATTGGGAAGCCGGGGGGGAGGGTGTCATTTTTAAGAATTGTTTAAGACAAATTATCTGAGCCACAGACTTGCCAAAGAGCAACCCCACATCTTATTGGCTGTGGAGACCGCAGGGCTTGCTTAGCACTGCCACCAACTGAAGAAGGGAAAAAAGGTAGTAGTAGTAGTTGTTATCTGGGGGATAGAGGTGACAATATACAATTTTTTTTTTTTAAAGACATGAACCACTACGCCATGACTCACACTTTAGGAAACGGTTCTAAGTAGTTGGTGAATCCCAAAGCCTAACTCTCTGTAGTCTGCGGGTGGAACAAATAACCAATTTTAACAACGGTCAGCCTAGCAAACCACCTCTATGTTTAGCTGGCAGTCTGGAGGTTTCCCAGGCTCTCAAGGGAGTCTCAGAGAAAGGTTTTGGAGGAAAGCTGTAATGGGAGACAGCTGCTGAATCATGTAGATATGGAAGGGACGCAGGAGGAAGAGACTTTGCTAAAGAAGCTAGTTCATGTTGCTGGAAGTTAGGAGTTCTGAATCGGGATAAAAGGAGACCAACCAGATCTGATCTGGGGCAAGCTGGACTTCTGCTAATGCCTAACAAGAACAGATCAAAATGCATGCTCTATGTCATTCCACCTTAGCCAGTGCAATTCCACCAGGGATAAATATGGCCCACCTGTTTCTAGCAAGATGACTTCTTGCCTCCTCTAGCCTTAACTCCCAATCTCTCTTCTGTTACTCTACTGAACATTTGGTGCATTTCTTGGCCTCTTCTGACAGGGAATTCTTGTTTAAGTTCAGTTGTCTGCAAACTTTGCAAGGAAAAATCTAGATGTTTGTACAAAGTAAAAGCCCTTCCCTTCCAGGGTTGGCAGAATGGACTTCAGCACAGCGAGGTAGCAGAAAAGGATTTGGGGAGGCAGGGGACACCAGCACCCCTTCCCCACCCCCCCTTGCTAATTTGCCATACATTTTCAAATTTTAAGTAGAAGCTAGTTTAGCAAGAATGCATTAGCATTTTGCACCGGGATGGTCCCTCAGCTCCTGTACCATGAGGAGAACCCTTGTTATTGCATCAGCTTATCAATTGCCTTTTCTTGGGAGGTCATTCCTGGAAACAGAGCAACAGTCAGTGCAAGTCTGTGACGTAAAACTATTTAATTACACTTCGCCTGTACAAAGATACTGTATTAATACAGCCTTCAGCAAGAAGAGGCCTAACAAAATTCTCCTGTGAAGTTTGGAACTCCATTCACAAGAGATTACAGCTTCATCCACATTTCAGTTCATATGAGACATTACAGAATAACAACTAACTTTAAAATTAACAAACCCTTTGGTCGGGCTTCCTTGCGTTTCAGACATAAATATGCACTTCCTTTTGGCAGGAGGAGCTTCCTCTTCATCGGAAGGGACTTCTATTGTCAAGAGCTTTCTATCGTCAAGTCAATAACATCAACTTTCTTCTTATTTGTCTCATTGGCCACGGTCACAGAACATGGTTTGCTGACAACACTGGAACCTGGAGGACAAAAATAAGAAGCATGGCTGTTCAGAAAGTTGCAGATATCAGCAGCTGCCATCTGCAGCATGTGCAACACCTCAAAATTTAATTTAGCCGGCTTGCCTGACTACTACATAGGGAGTAGTTATCGGGACCCTGCTTTCCGAGATCAAAGACTAGGAATCACAGAAATTAAGATCAGAAACATGAGTCATCTAGAGCAGCTCTGTGTTCCATTTCCCAAAACAATCATGCAAAATGGTGGGCTTTTTTCTTTCAAAGAAGCAGGTGTCTATTTAAAATGTAAATGGGTAAAGAATTAGTTTGGGTGTTAGTAGTACCCTAGCACTTCTGCATCCTAAGAGTCTAAGACATGACAGCATTTATTTTTATGTTTGCCATTCAGTACTCTAACACACATACTTTCTATTTTGGTGCACGGTGGACTGGATACTTTCAGAGCTTCCTTCTTAGGCCTCATAGGGCACCAGGAACCATCCTCTTGGAATTTAATTTCATCCACATCAGAGCATTCATTAAGTATTTCCATAAAGAGCCTGGAAAATAAAGACAAGCTGCTTTAGTTTTGTTCTTAGTCTCGAGCCAAGTGAGAAGATGCAGCTGATGGAATTTGAACTGCATCAAACAAGCTAGAGAGAAAAGTCAAGTCTACCACGGGGTATTACAGCAACATTCTAATAACGTTTAAGGTCCCGATTCATTCTCTAGGGATTTCAAGTCTGTAAAGAAAACTGCAGTCCCTTGTAAAGAAAACTAGACCTTGAAGGGGAACAGCGAGGACTAGAGATAAAAAGCATATAGTTTTGTATTAGGGGTTTGGGTTGTAGCCGTGTTGGTCTAAGGACATAGGCAGACAAGGTTCCTTGGGTGAATTTGATAGGAAGAGCACACACCAACTGCTGAAACTTCCTTAGCCTGACGAAGGGTTTTTGAACCTGAAAGCTTGCTTAATAACTATTCTCCAACCATTTGGGTTGGTCTAATAAAAGATATCAAATTCACCCAAGGAACCTTGTCTGCCTATGTCCTTAGATCAACACGGCTACAACCGATTTGAAAAGATGGTTTCAAAGTACAGCTTGCTAATTTTCTTTCACATGCCAAAGGATGCACACTGCCCTCTCTCTCAAGTCTAAATGATGTTCCAGAGCTCAGGCAAACAGTTTGTGCGCTTTATGAAGGAATTACTAACAATGATTTCTGTTATGAAGGTCCGATTAGATTAGTATCTACGAATATTTATGGAAATAAATTTGGAAGTCAGGTGGTCAAAACTTATTACCTAAATCTTAAGTCTCAATGTTAAAAGATAGCATAGGTTTTTGTGCTTCAGTTAGGTTTTCCTTAACTACTGTATTTAGTTAAAAACTAAAAGTTTAAAAAGACACACACACACACACTTACCCATCTAATATCAGACTCTCGTAAGCTGCCTTTTTATCACAAACAGGACAAATCCAGGTGGGTTTCTTCTCATTCATTTGTAGATAAAGAGCAGCATCAAAACACTGCAGATGTGTGCAGGTCACAGCACGGCATGGGATTGTCAATCTCATCTTTCCCAGCTGCAGGAGATGCATTGGAAGTGAGCATCAGAACCAAAAGACAGGAGGGAAGCTCCTGTCTTTCAGAGACAACAGTGAGATCAAACACATCAGTATGGTGAGAATGGTCTCCTACTGGTAAGCAAGCGGCCAAAACAAAGGTCTTGTAATGCTCAAGTCAATAGCGTGTGTGTACAGAAAGGGTAATGGGATCATGCTGCCCATGTGGAGTCATCATTCAGGTGTCAAAACCCAGCAGAGATTTTTTAAAGTGGTGTCAGTTTTCTGCTGCTGGGCCCACTTTTCCCTAAGTAAATAACTGGAACACTATTTCCATCATCATTTCTATTTTGTACCTCTTAGTTAAGGATCTTAAAATACTTGGTGAATCCTGACCAGCTAAGCCTCAGCTCTGGACTGGTGTTACACTCACTTTATAGGAGTGAGCAGAACTACAGAGCAGAGGTAAGTTATTAGCCATGTTAGTCTCAAGCCATGCAAAAGATACATCTCTAAAGGTGCCACTCTGCCCTACCTGGTTCAAAGAGTCATGAGCTGTCAGAGGCAACAACCTACTTCAGCAGATGCTGGGAACAGAGTGGCAGACAGTTTAAATAGAAGGGAAGGGGCAAGGGAGAGGAGGCTGCTGAAGAAAGGGAGTAAATAGAGGCAGTTAACACCTGGAGGGACACAAAAGCAAACAGCTAATCCAGATAATGGAATAAGAATCTCTATTCCTTTTTAAACTAAGGCTGCAGTTAAATGGCAAGATGAAACCCAATCTGTGATCCCAAAAATTGTGCCTCCTGCCAAGCCACACGTGCAAGGCAGGACATGCAGTTTTGGGATCGGGGATCAGATCCCAATCAAGTCCTACATACCAGTGATCCTGGCTCCCTCTGCACCAGCAAAAA